CAAATAATATGAGATTGTGAATATGGAGATGGGATTCATGGGATATGATAGGATTATGGGCAAAGATAGACAACTAGGTAATTAATAGTAAACAACTGTAAATCAGTGATTAAGCTAGACTTTAGTGGGGATAAGCTTTTTCTCGAACAATTTACTCCGAATCAAATTGGTTTCTCTCGAATACCAATAAGCATCAATTAAGCACAACATTCGCTTTAGTCCATTTACTCTCTCAAGCTGAATGTGCGGAAGATGGTTTAGGAATCACTCTCTCGAGTTAAACCCATGACAACCCAATACCCACAAACCATCGATTCAGTAATTTAAATTTTAAAACCTCTCTATTGAGAAAGCCAAAAACACAAAGTTAAGATTGTATTTGCAACTACAACCCATTAAATTCAACCACAACTACTGAATGAAAACACCTATAAAAAGCTAATAAACTATCAATTAGCAATACCCAGCAGTTATACCAACCCATAATCACATACAAACATCCCAAGAATTTGGGTTTTAGGTAGACATAGTAAAAAGGCAAAAATCTTTACCAAGTTGTGTTTCCATCAACTGGGTTTGACTGATATAGTCTTTACAAAGGTCTAAGATGAAGAATCTTCAACATCCATTTCCAATTTCTTATAAATGGATATCTTCAAAGCTAAGAAAAATATTGTCTCTCTATTCAGTTCTAAGCTCTCACCTTGAAAACTGAATAATTCTAAAATCTCATAGAAAATCAATACTAAGCTAAAAGTTTAAACAATTATTTATAGTTGTCAAAAAGTGTGCTGCGAAGGATCATTCGGCGCAGTAAGTCGGGATTGCCGATCGGCCATTTGGTCATTTTCATCACCATTTTGCTTTTGCCTTCAGCATCTTCAGGTCCTGTAACTTTGGGTGATATAGCACTGTGTCACGGAATTGTTTGGCAACTCACCGACTACTTCTTTCTATCGCCGACTTGATTTTCTCTTTCAGGGCATGGCACACTGGGACATAATGCGGGACCAAGGCCGTTCGGCGACTCACCCAATGGGTTTGGCTATCCTCAGGCCTTCTTTTCTTCGTTCTTTAAGCCGCCTTGTTCCTTTTTGCTCAATAGTGTCCATGATTTTGTTCCTCAATCCAAATACCTGAAATTCAAGGATTTACATCAGTTATTGGCACAAAATATGCATTTGAGGTCACTAAATCTATTAAAATGAAACCCTAAATGAGTCCAAATCGTTGACTCATCAACACCCCCAACTTAAACTTTTTCTTGTCCTCAAGTAAAACTCAAGTTCAGCAGTTCAAATATGATGTCTCAAAAAGTGCTACACAAGACTCAATCATGAATGCACACAAAATGACTCAACTTACTCATGCAAGGACCAAATGTGCACTCAAAGTTTCAGGTTGGGACTCACCATTATCAAAGACTCACAAGATCACAATACTTGCTTCAAAAGCAAGTTCAAGCTGAACAAAGGTGTTCAAATGCCCTTACACAAAGGATGATTCCATATTCACATAATGGTTCATCAATTTAAAGCTCCAGAATCAATTTCAACACTCACACTCACAAAGATGAACACGATGCATGATTTCACCCATAGGTTTGCTCTTATTTTCCAGCCAACAATTGCTTTAGCTCATTCAAAATCACAAAGGTCTTTTCAAGGCTTGTAACGAGGTTGAGTGTAAAGGTATGTTATTTTAGGCTCAGTGACTTATATCCGCATGAAATGTGGTGTGAACAACACTTTCTTTCCTTTTATTCATCATTTTCATTCATGCTCGCAAGTCACCCCATTATTCATCTTCCATGGACTGTTGGAAACCCATTTCTTTTTGCATTTTCACAACTTTATTCCGCAACTTTTTCTTTCTTTTTCTTTTTCATTCATTTTTTGTTTGTATGGAGGGGTTCCATTTTTTTCAAAACCATGGGTCAAAGGGGGCTTTCTTGCACTTCTTGATATACCTTCCACTACAAAAAACCCCTGAATTGCCAACAAAATTATCGGTTGGTAAATTGATTAAATTGGTTAGCAAATGAATTTTCCAACTGAATACCAACTAATATTAATCCGTTGTTAAAAAGCTTGTCACTAATTTTTACCAACCCATTTCAGTTATTTGGTAAAATTACCGACTAAAATTCAGTTGGTAAACACATAAACAACTTGTTGGCAATTGTTGAAATGTCGCCTTCGAATTTTCGTTGGTAAATTCACCAACCAATTTTCGGTTGGAATATTGTTGGTAAGTTTACTAACGAAGAGAAAAAGAGTTAGTAAATTTGGTTCTTCATTATTCAATTTTGTTAGTAATATGTTGGCAAATATACTAAAATAAAATAAAATGTTGTTACTATTCCGTTAGCAATTATATAACATATAACAACTTGGTTGGTAAGTTCGATAGTAAATTCACTACAATGCATTGGTAATCGATTAGCAATTTCAGTTAAGAAAAAAAGTGTGTTGGTATTTTGTTAGTAAATTACCAACGAATTTTAAATATGTAAGTAAGTATGACTATCTACTTTTGTAACTTACATTACCAATTGGTTAGTATTTTAGAAACACAAAAAGCTCATTACTAATTTGTTAGGAAGCTTACTAACTGATTGTTAATTTGTTGGTATTGTATATCATTTATGTTCAATATTTGGTCAGTGATTGTTTGGTAATGCATATTGACATATTACTGACTAAATAGTAATTCGATAGTAAAGTTTCACTTTATATATTTATATTAATCAATAGCTTTTACGAATCTTAAAAAGTCTGGAAACATACAATGGTTCTTTGATAAATTATAACTTGAATAAACAATGCAAAACCAAAGATTAATTCAAAATAAATACAGAAACAGGCAATGCAAAACCTAAGATGAAGAGTTCAAAATAAAACCAAATAAGGAAACAAACAATGCAAAATCTAAGATGAAGAGTTCAAAATAAATCCAAATACGGAACAAACAATGCAAAATCTACTTAGGATAGTTTGAAAAATTTAAATGACTCATATCATTATTTGATAATGGGTCATGTCTAAGCTAAGATGGTGTACCAGTTGGAGGTGTACCAGTGGGCAACGTACTAGGGGGTGGTTTAGGCAGCCAAGCTATGAGGATGGGCAAACGTTCTTGGAGAATCTTATCAACTTGCTCTTGCATTTCTAGCTGCATTTCATGTTTCATTTCTTCACGCAATTCATGTCGTATCTCTTCTCTCATCTCTTCTCTCATCTCATGCTTCATCTCCTCTTTCATTTCTTGAACATATTCCTTCACTTGAGCATCAAAACTACAATCTTGAGGTTGAGTAGTTGAAGCAAACGATGAACCAATGTTCTCATAGAGTACTGCTTGAGAACCAAGACCATATATACATGCCTTCTTAACCCCACCCACTTCATCCATGTAAATCTTTGAAAAATCTACCGTCGGTGACTCACCATATTCATCTACAAGTTGAGATTCATCTACAAGTTGAGATGCAGATGTGATCTTAGACATTACCACATCCTGAAAACAAAATATATGATATTATGTTAAGAAAAAATGAATAGCGATTATAAACATATAAGACAATTGAACATGACTTAGGGTGAAACACAAGATTTCTCAGACTATATACAACAATTATCTCTCAGCGAACTACCATGAAAAGGAGAATTTTTCACATGGAAAACAAACTATCAGAGGCTGATAGAATATGGAGTATGCTGGACAAGACTTTTGGTAATTTTGACTGGATGATGATCTATGGACATGTGCGATTGGAGTACGACCTGCCAATGAATTATGATCACAGGAGGATGAAAAAAGTATGGTTTAAGCTGAGGGCACTAAAGCCACAACTCAAAAGGTTGCATAGTAGAGAATTTCAGAATATAAACCAACAAATTGATAGTGCCAGGGCAAAATTTAAGGTAGTTCAAGAACACTTGAGTATGCAGTGTATTAATGGGATAATAATTGAAGAAAAGGCCCTCTTATTGAATTTGGAGAAGTGGTTTTTAATAAAGGAGAGCATCTTGTAGCAAAAGTCTAGGGCGAGGTGGATTAAGCTTGGAGATTCCAACACAAAGCATTTCTCTGCAGTGATGAAGCTAAGAGCTCACAGAAAACAAATATCTGAAATTATGTCTTTATCAGGAACCAAGCGTACCACTCTTGAGGACACACAAACTGAAATTGTTACTTTTACAAGAGTCTTAATGGGTTCTGCAACTCTTAGCTACAAGGAGTAGACAAATCAATTATGAGAAGGGGACCTACATTTCCTCTAGAAAAACAAACTACTCTATGTGCTGAAGTTACCGACCAAGAGATTATAGATAGTCTCGGTTGCATTGATAAAGTAGGGCCAGTAATCCACAATGATGTTTTGTTAGCTGTTAAAGAGTTCTTTCACACTGGAAAGTTATATAGAGCCATCAACTGCACCACTACGACATTAACTTCCCTTTTTGTTAATCTCTAATTTTATAACCATGTGTTTAATGTTTGGGATAAACATGATAGATGAAGATTAAGCAAATCCTCAACAAAAATTAAGAAAGATAATCAGTAATGTTTGGCATTACTTACATATGTTCTCTTAGACTTCAGATCCACAAACTCATCGTTTCCTTTGGTATGTGTCTTCTTCAAAAGTTCATGCGGATAAGGTGGTCGTCCAAGAACATTCGCCTAAAATTGAAATCACATCTATTAAAGTTATTACATAAGGAATAACTTTAAAATAACTATAACTTGACAAAATGAAAATAATTGTACCAGTTGTCTTGCATGCTCTCGATGAGTCCAGAAGCCTCCAGTATGGCGTGAGGGACCAGATCCTTCACCACATTTCTCACTTAGTCGATTTTTGGAATACTGTGCAGATTTAGCCTTAAAATCCTCAGTATCATAGTGAGGCTTCCAGCTCTCCCAAATAGATTTTGGGATATTTTTTCGTTTCTCCTCAGAGGATCTTGCTTCACATAACATACCCCTGTATTGTATTGAACATTTTTTCATAAAATGATCCTTTATGGAACCTTCAGTTGTAATATTCCAATGGAATCGCTTCTGTTTAAGAATATAGAGAAAAATATCACATAAATTGATATAACATAAATTCTAAATGAATATAATACATTAATAAAATGATAGCAAAATGGAATTTATGGGTATAATGAGTACATGAATATTATATTAGAAGGAGACACAATCAGGTATCGAAAGGTGTACCAAAAAAAGTATCATGGGTGTTGAAAAAAGCTTGGAAAGGAGGGAAGTATATTGAAGAAGCTCGAATGAACATGGATGAACTAGGAAGTAAGGCAAAGTTCTCTGATAGGAAATTATATATGAAGCTTAGAGGAAATTATAAAAAAGTCTCATGCAGGAGGTTAAGTTGCAATATCAGTGGTCCACCTAAATGGACCTTCATTCTGTACTTGGCTATATTGGGATGATTACACACCATAAATAGATTTCTTGGATAGGGAATTGTTGATCCTATGAGTTGTCCAATGTGCGGAGATGCAAATGAAACAATAGAGCACTTGTTTTTTCAATGTATTCCTCCCACAACGTATGGACTAAGTTTCTACAGTGGCAGGGCATAACAAGAGCTCCTATAGGAAGGAGGGATGAAGTAGAATGGGTGACTAACTTAATGAAAGGAAAGAGTCCCAAAGCAGATATATATAGAACTTTCTTGGCTGGTAATGTATACCATATTTGAATTGAAAGGAATCCATGTGTTTTCAAAGGCACACAAAGACGACCTGAAGTTTAGTTAGACAAGTTATCCAAGAGGTGTTTCAAAAGAGTAATAACAATAGGAAATTGACTGCATTGTTAGAAACTATGAACTTGTATCCCTAAATATTTTCTCTTTCTAGATGTAGCAGATGAAGCAACCTAAGTTTATCTGTTAGCTAGTTGTAGTGGTTCTATTTCATCAACTATGTTTTTATTTTGTTCTTGTTTGAGCTGTACGGTTTTACTTTAGTAACAAAATCAATAGTTACAAAAAAAACCCAGGTAGTATGGATTACGTTAAACTCCTCCCAGTAGAAGTCCTTAATCTCTGGTGTAACTGACTTCCAATCATGTCCTTCAGGATCCAATTTTCCTTAAAGATTTTTGCGATCGCCCGAGATACATTGTTACTTAGCTCCAAACTTGTATATATATATATATAACAAGTAATTATTTCAATACTCAATTTTATTTATAAACATCAAGCAGTGTCTAGAGTGTATTATCAGTTTCTTTAGCGACAATATAAGATCTTAAAGAGGTCGAGGCAGTAAGGAAGAAACATATGACACATATGAAAGTGTTATCAAAGAGACAAGGATTAGATATAAATTATATAATCCTGTCATTATCATATCTTGAAATGACTAGCTGGGAGGAGCCGATACTGAGCTCGGATTCAATATGATCTAAGCTTAATCTAGAACAAGTAAAAAAAAGTTCTAGTATGAAATCTAATGATATACTGCAAAGATAAGAAAAACTTCAGGGAATGAGGATTGTTGATATCAAAGAAATGTCACACCATACACACCAATAAAAGTAAAGTAAACAATATATTTGCCACACAATCTGAACATATAGGTCAAGAGCAAAAGTTCTGGGGAACTGCACATGGGGAATTCTGTTGCCCCATTCTATAAATTCCTTACCATATGATGTTGCCACATTCAACTATTGCTTCTTATATAGGAGAAGTGTAGACATTAGTGAACAAGCTACTTTCTTCAAGAATGATTTTTTTGTATTGATTTAAAAACACCTCAATTTGTAATTCATTCCCCACTAATACAATTTAAGAAAATCAACAGAACTTGTAAACATTTATAAAACAAAGTTTTGAAGAAAATCAACACATCTTATTTTCTTGCATGTAGAAAAACAATGTAAATGAAACAATATTGTACACTTACCGTCCCATGACGATTTCAATTGGGATGCGGGTACCATCAGTTGTATTTGATGAAGTTGTGGATACAATGTCATTCCTTGGTATTTCGATCCCCACAGATGGAGATGGTCCCGATATGTTGACTGCAACTGAATCTGGCGTAACTGGTGTTGGCAGTTCAGGCAATGATGGTGCTTGATCACGTGCGAAACTCGACATTAAAGGAGTTGCCACTGGATCTGCTGTCCTTTTTCCAGAATATCTACAACGTCCACCCCCCCTAGGTGCCATATCTGCAATTTCAAAGTTAAATGTGGATGAAGTAATATCATAATGATTGATCTAATTATAACAAGAATAGATAGTTAGTTGATATATCACTTCAAGAACAAGATCCCTCTGAAATTTAAGAAAAAACGTGTTAATCTAGTTAGCAGATAAATATATAAACACTTCTATAAATAAAATAATCTCATCACTATTCCAAACATAGATCTAGAATCATACTGGGAATAGTTGTTCAAACAAAACAACCAGGAGAACTATTATAACAAAATAAGTATACTGGTAAAAGAGACGAAATATAAAATCAACTTATATACTACATTTTAGTAACTCTAACTCCTATATTTGAAGAGATTGGAGCACTTTGACTCTATTCACTGCCACTTTCATAGTACGCCTCTTCATTCTCATTTTCATCATCTGATTCTGATTCTAATTCATCATGAAACTCTGTCTCATCATCTAAATTATCATCCTCATCTCTCAAGTTTATGAATTCACCATTTGGATCATTCCGGACAATAGTTTCACAATCAGACACTACATCAAATCTTAAACCATCTTCATCACATTGGAAAGGCTCAGCAACATCTACTAGAGGGGACACTAAAGATGATGGAGGCATATCCACAATACCCCGAGCTTTTGTTTTGCGCACAGCCCACCAATCACTCTTATCACGTCGTAAGCTAGGATAAGTAGCATAATACACTTGAGCCGCTTGCATTGCCAAAACAAATAGTTCGTACTTCCTCAATTTTCTTCTATGATTGATATCCACAAGTTTATATTGTGGGTGAATCTTCATTCCTACGTTTGGCGTGGGGTCAAATCATTCACATTTAAATAAAACAGTTCTTTTGATTAGTGTACTGCCCTTGTACTCCAATTCAAGAATTTCAGTAACCACACCATAGTAGTCATTCTCATCTGCACTATAATTTGTTCCTTTTATGCAAACTCCACTGTTATAAGATGCTCTAGAAAACTGCGTCCTTTAGTGTGAAATTTAAAGCCGTTGACATTATAACCAATGTATGGCTTCGCTGATCGACATGGACCTTCTGCAAGCGCCTTGATGAACTGATTATCTATATGGACTCGGGCCTATCAAATTAAAAACTATTAGAGTTTCTTATAAGTAAAGTAAGTACAGATGAAAAGATATTGTACAACTGCTCACATATCTTGTGAACCATGATGCAAATTCTTCATCAAGTTTTATGTCCACTTCCTGCTCCGTAATTTGTGGAAACATTTGATGAAGAGAGTCAATAAAATTCCTTTGGATCACATAAAAGAAAAAGAATATGTAAGATTTTTTCTGATAATTTTAGTGTATAAATGAAAGCAAAAGCTTGAAATCTTACTCCACATATGGCTGCACTTCTCTACAATTTAGTAAAATATAAATATGAGCTGCTTTAAGTTCTTCAGTAAGATATCTACAATTTAGTTCCCCAAATCCCCGACCTGGATAGGTGAATATAGAAAGATTATCATCGTATCCATCTTATTCATGCATACCACCATCGTCATTCTATGGCAGTTTTCTATGCCTTGTGTAAACATGAGGCTCGAAGTAGTGTGAACAAAATAATGAAGCTTCCTCAACTATATGTGCGTTTCATATGCATCTTTCGACATGTGCCTTATTTCGAACATTATATTTATATTTTCAGAGATTTCTGAAAATAGCACAAAAGCTCAAGGCATTAGTCACTCATAATGATGAAAACAAAGTACTTAAATAGTCAAGTCTATTTTGGTGGTTAGGGACAGATGAAAGAAATTGCATATTAAGGGTGTTGTACTATGAAATAGGTGACTTACCATTTAAATACTTATGAGTTCTTCTTTCTACTGAAAGGATGACAATTTTGCAAAGCAAACCTTTAGTCGATAAAATTATAATAAAGATCACTAACTAGATAGCTAGAGAATTTTCATATGTTGGGAGGCTTCAGCTAATTAGAGCAGTAATTTTTTGCATCCAAGCATACATGTTACATCTGTTTATGCAACCACAAAAGGTTATTAAACTCATCGAAACTGCGTGTAGGAAATATTTATGAACAGGGGAACCCAATATTACTAAAAGGAAACTTGTAGTCTGGGACAAGGTGACTCTTCCTAAAGGTTCAAGAGGCTTGAATAATTATTTAAAGACCTGGAATCAAGCTGCAACATGCAAACTGTTGTTGTTGTTGAGTCAGAACAAGGAAAAACTACAGATTAATTGGGTCCATAGACACTATATAAATGGCAGGAGATTACCAGATCACATAGAGTTTCTTGATATGCTTCTTGGATGATAAGAAAGATGTTTCATATGTGAAAATTCTGGCAGATTATCAATTTATATATACAAACAGATCATAAGGGGGGAGTATAAAATATCATATACTTTAAACTTTAAGAGGTTTTGCAAAAGAAGTTCCTTATAAAAATTTTGTATGTCATAATATTTCATGTTGTCAAGACTGACCTATGCAACTAGTTAAGAAGAAGCAAGAGGCTATTTGAGCTTTCAAGTTCTCTTTAATTAGATTATAACTTTATATTAGAGATAGTGATTAGGATTGTCATAAGGATTGTAAGGTTATTTAGGCGTTGTCTGAGAAGGGAAGGTTGTTGGTTGGCTCCTCCCTAAGCTTTTTATTGTCGCCTGGTGATTAATAAAATAAGTTTAATTGCAAAAGCAATAAAGTAGTTGAATATATAAATGAAGTCTTACCTCTCAAATGGATACATCCATCGATATTGTACCGGACCAACTATCATTGCTTCGTAAGCGAGATGCACAGGGAGATGCTCCATTGAGTCAAAGAAGCTAGGAGGGAATACACGCTCTAATTTACATAGTATTTCAGGTATTTTTTGTTGTAGTCTTACCATATCCTCTTCACGAATTACTGTAGAAGTGATATCCCTAAAGAAAAGGCTCATCTCAGTAAGTGCTTCCCACACTTTTTTGGGTAATAGCTCACGGAATGCAACAGGTACCAATCTTTGCATAACTACATGACAATCATGACTTTTCATACCGAATAACTTGTGTTTTTTCATGTCCACACACCTTCCCATATTCGAGACATATCCATTAGGAAATTTTAGATTTTTCACCTATTCACACAACAATTTTTTTGACTCTTCTTTCAGTGTGTAAATAGCTTTTGGATTCTTCCCATCAACAACATGTAATTCAGGGCGTCGACAGAACTCTTTCAAGTCTTCTCTTGATTTGGGATTATCTTTTGTTTTACCATCTACCTCCAGCACTGTGTTGAACACATTCTCAAAGAAGTTCTTCTCAATGTGCATAACATCTAGATCATGCCGAATGAAATTGGTACTCCAATATGGCAAATCCCAGAATATGCTTCTCTTCTTCCAACCAGAAAACTTACTAATCTGACGATTAATAATATCAGCCCCAAGTTCTGTTACCTTTTTAAGTCCTAGTTCTTCTATCTCCTTTAAGACATCTTCTCCTGATCGTAATGGGGTAGGCGGCATGGTTACCACTCTGTTCTTTCTAAATGAGTTCTTATCCTTTCTGTATGGATGATTAATTGGCAGAAACTTACGGTGGTTGTCAAACCAGGACTGCTTACCACCTTTTGTCAAAGTAAAAGCATCAGAATTCTTCATACAATATGGACATGCTAGCCTGCCTGCAGTACTTCATCCAGACAACATCGAATATGCAGGAAAGTCACTTATTGTCCACATCAAAGCAGCTCGCATTTGAAAATTTTGCTTCTTAGAGATATCATATGTGTTGACACCTATATTCCATAGGTTCTTCAACTCAGCAATCAAACATAGCAAGAAGACATCTAGTTGATGCTTAGGATTCTTTGGTCCAGGAACTATAACCGATAAAAATAAATATGGATCTTTCATACACATCCAAGGAGGTAAGTTATATGGTGTCACAATTATTGGCCAAGATGAATATTGCTTTCCGGTTTGACCAAATGGCTGAAACCCATCAGTGGACAGTCCTAATCTAACATTACGATTTTCCTCTGAAAAAGATGGATGCATCTTATCAAAATGCTTCCATGCAGGTGCATCTGAACAGTGACACATCACACCTTCCTCAACTTCATGTTCAGCGTGCCATCACATGTGTGAAGCAGTTGCTGTGGAAGCATACATTCGTTGCAGTCGTGGAGTAAGAGGAAAGTAATACATCTGTTTGAATGGTACAAGACTTTTCTTCTGAATAGATCTTTAACTTGTAAGCTTATACCTGAGATGACTACAAAACTTGCAATTTAGAAGTTCACTATCCTCTCCCCAGTAAATCATGCAGGCATTGACACATGTATGAATTTTTTCAACTGGCATGTTCATTCCCCTCATTAAGTTTTTAGTTTCATAGAAATTTTTTGGCATCACATTATCAGGCGGAATCATCTCATTCACATATTGACAAATATCATCAAAACATCTTTCAGAGAGGTGATGTTCAGCCTTGATATGCAACAAACGAGCAACAACTGATAATTTTGAGTGTGTTTAACAACCAAGCCACACTTCTTGATTTGTAGAATTAAGCATATCATAAAAATGTTGGGCATCAGGATTAGGTAATTCCTCCATATCATCTGGAACAAATACGGGACCAGCAGCCTCATGAACCATTCAATGATAAGACATACTAGGTCCAGGATCATCAAATTCACTAACATCAACCGGTAGGTTATTCATAGTATGTTCCCAGTTGTGCATTGTTTCATCTTGATCTATAGTTTCCGCAACTTCACTTTCTCCATGCAAATACCATACATGATATCCCGGTACAAAACCTTTTTTTAATAAATGCCCATGGACAGTATGAACATTTTCAAAGTTTCTATTCTGACATTTCTTTCGGTTACTTGGGCACCTTAGTCTCTCACCATCCCTTCCTTCTGGATGACTCATAGCAAACTCAATAAATTGTTGTACACCTCTTAGGAATTCAGGATCATACAGACCTTTGGTTAATCTTTTGTACATCCATTGACGATTTGAACTCATTTTACTTATAAACTTCTTTTCTGATAACGTGAGAAGGGCAAATAGTGAAATAAAAGCTCACAGAGAATTGAAAAGAAGAAATTTGCAGTATGACAGAAAATGAAACAGAGAAGAATGTTATTTGTTTGAAATTTAAACTGGAACTCTTTTTTACAGCAGGAATGTAGGTTGTATATATTAACTAAATAGTAACCTTTTCTCCTAAAATAACTCCAACAAAGTCCTATTCAAATAAATAGCTAATCTGATATCATTCCTAAATATTGATAACTGAAATATTTGACTCTGTCAACTTAAAAAATCTTAAAACAGTAAAAGAAAACATATGTAGATGCAACTAATTTTATAGCATTGCAATTATAAAATCTTTGAATAGTTAAAAGGGTGCAATTTATAATCAAGCTAGAAGGACAAATAATTCGACTCAAGCTTCTTTTCTTTCTTTTTTAGTAGGTTAGTTTAATCAAAACTTCGTAAAACATGTAACTCAACATATGAAGGTAATGAGAAGTATTATGTTGTTAGCCCTATTGATTTATAGCTTTTTCAGGTTAGGAGAAGAAACATGCAAACCAACCTCACAACTATCTTAATTAGGCAAATCCTCTTATCAAGGGAATTCAAAAACATATGTGTATATTCGATCTTATTTATTCCAGCGATAACTAATCAACCACATACTATATAAACACTATATACTAACCAAGCAAATAAAGCATGTCAGAAGAATTACAATTAATCAAATCATACAAAATAGGAAAATAAATATGATAAAGAATACATACTATTTAGCAGAAAGGATTGTGGAACTGATAATTCAAGCGTGG